ACATTGCAAAGGTTTGCATCGAAGTAAATGCAGAACGTAAATAAGGAACGAAAATAAGTACAATGTGACTTGAGAAACGACGAAGGGAGGATAAATTTAATATTGAAATGGTCCCAAATGAATAATAAAACTATATATAGCGTGTCCACAAAATAGAGGATGTTGTCAATAGAAACATTAAGAACGTTTTTAATAAAAGTTATGATGACACCAATATTTTTCACAAACGTTACTCCCCTAAAATATTATAAAATAGCATTTATTTCTGATATGTATATCATAAATATCTAATGTTCAATAAAAAAAACTGTAAAATGGCATGGAAAATATGTTCCTATTTATGACGAATTTAAAACCAACATGTCACAATCTTTTGTTACTTTTCGAGAAACTATGGCCAACTATGTTAGACGTTATATGTCTAATTTCTGTGTGACCAGTATATTGTACAGCTATACCTTGTGACAGAATAAGACAACGTCTTGTATAGTAAGATTTGAAAATATACACGTTAAGACGTACAAAGCGTAATCCGTGAGACCAAAGAACTACCGAGATCTAAAAGATTATTATGAATTGCCATCTATAAAAACCGAAAAACGGAGTGGGAATATGAGATCATAAAAACAAGGAGTTTGGAACCTGAACCTGACTATGAAGAAAATTGGTCCGACTTGATGATGTGTTCACTGGTTAACACTAATTAGAAAAACGAATATAACAGCGTGTGCTGAAATTCTCTAAAGTTTTTACAACACCTGTCCAAAGGAGGATTTTGTAGGAGATAGAATCTTGCCATTATTTCCATGAGAAAAGATACAATTTTTTAAGTTAAACGATCCTTGTGTGTATCGATTCTTGTGTAAGCCGGATAACTTCAAGGTTTTATATGATTATTAGCAGATTACTAAGTAAACTGCTGGAAGATTCTCCAATAAGCAACATAGTTTTCGATGAGGACGGTCAACTATTGGAGTTGTTGGAAAGCATTCCATAGCTTGAATGGCATGCAAGGTATTAACCATTACTACAGGCCAATACAATCGTCGATGTGTAGGTCTTAGAAATACTAGGTGAGTCGAGAGGAACGGACCAAACTTTAGGAGTGTATTGTACACTAATATCATGTAAAAAAACTGACATGTCCTTATCCGATATTCTTTTATTTTCTTTTTTGTTATTGCATAACTTTTACTGCATAACTACACTTAAACAAAATCTTATACATTAACATTAAATATTAATCATCAACATTATTTTAATAATTATTCGAAAATATCGCCATTAACTTCTAAACATTTCCGGCTTCGTTTAGTAAGAGCTCTTGTTGAAAATGAAAAAAAAAAATAAAATTGGATAACAACATATGAGTTTTTTTATATTATTTTCAAGCGTACAATACCCTCCTAAAAGTTTTGTCCGTTCCTCCCGACTTACCCTATATAAGATAAGTGTGGCACACGGGTTTGTTGTTGACCTCCAACTATGATTGAACAACATTATTTGCTATGAGAGAGTACTCCAATAAGAGATGTCCAACACACTTTTCTGGTACGTAAATAAGTATAAACAAGGTGATAAGCTGAAGATGATTACGGGATTAAACTAATTTCAATACTTTCGAAAACGAATGTTAGTAACAATTAAGTTATATGTGACAACAAGTACAACTTCTAATAATTGATTTGTGTGAGTAAAAGCGAAGAAGTCACAACTTTGTAAACAAAAAAGAAAACTACCGATACTCGTTTTCAAGATTATAATATCAACAACTGTGGGTAGTTTCAACAACTGGAATGGGAAAGCACAAAACACATCTTTATTTTTCATTTGTGCATTCAAAACAGTTTCGGGTCCAGTTTACTCCAGTCATCTACTTATGCTGTACAAGGGTGATGCTATTTCAAGCAATGTATTCCATTTAAAACAAGCAGATTTGGTATTAAATCATTTATACTTTGCGACTAAACACCTACCTATGTGCTAGATTTTAACATATACCAGAAAAAATACAGACATTGTGCGTTATTTTACGATAATTGGACAATCGGAAAATGTTGATTATACACTTTTACGTCCATATATTGAAAAGGTCATACAGACATTGGTACAGAAGTAAAAATCTGTATAATTTACTGCATCAACATAACACAAATGCTTTTGATACAGTACGGAAAAATAGAAAAAATATGTCCCAATATGAACGATAACATTGTTGTTGATACGTACTTTAGTTACGTTGTTATTCGTACTTTTTGTATATACAGGTGGATGTGCCGAAATTCAACGTCAAGCGGACACCGGCTGAAAGGCCAACCCATACCTGTTCTGGTAAAAATAAGAAAAAAATTCTATGTCTCTTAGTTAAGTGGTAATAGAGATATTTTTGAAAATGTTAAAAATTGTTCCTGTATATATTTTCAGGTACTACGGTCAGAAATGTTCGTAATTTAATAGTGATTTTTTTAATAACGTAGTCCTTATGAATCATGCTACTATAAAAGTCACAAATCAAACAACAAAAGTCGTTAATTTTGAAAAAAAAAAAAGTAGTAGTTTGAGTTAAGGTTGAAAGAATTTATGACTATTAAGTTTGACACACGATTTCTAAAAAAAGGAGTAGTACATCACCCTTGGCAAGTTATTTTAAAAGATACCCATTTAGTCAAGATTCTAAAATGGTATAACACTTGCCATTTTTCTTTTCCTAAAAGATATTATTGCCTGTTTTTCAGCAAAAAAAAACGCTTTATTTAAAAAATTCATACTGTAGTATGTTATTTGTATTTCCTCCAAAATAATTTAACAACTTTGTTAGAAGATGTGCCACTAAATATCTACAGAAAAATGTGCAGAACATCCCAAAAGATGGATTGGGCGTCTTGGTTCGATGACGTGGTCCCTCGTGAAACAGTGTATTAAAATCCGATTAAAAATCTTTCAGAACTGCGCCACAATATTTATACAGCAGCAGAAGAAATACATGCAAAGATATTTGCACAACTAGTAAAAAGATCTTTTCTGCGACGATGCAGAGCTTGTATTAGTGCCGACGGCAAACGATTTGAGCATTTGCTTTAGTTTTAAGAAAATAATGCAATAAAATTAATAATAAATAAATTAATAATTCCTTTTGTTTAATTTTGCCTTTAGCTTAACCATATTCGAAATAGTCTTTTTGCAAGACATAAAAACCATCTTGTTGAAACCACATTTTGTAGTTCGTAGATATTGATTGGCACATCTTCTAACAAAGTTAAGAGGAAACAAAGAGTAAATACAAATAGCACACGAAAGTATGAATTGTTTAAAAAACATGTTTTTTTTTGCAGAAAAACAGTCAATAATCTTTTCTATCAAAAGAAAAATGGCAAGTGTACAGCAAGTAAATGGCAAGTAAACTGGCCATCTTTAAAATTACTTGCCAAGGGTGCTGTACTACTCGCTTTTTAAGAAATCGTGTGTCAAACTGAATAGACATAAATTCTTTTGAACAATTCTGACGCTATTACCTAAAGATACTCAACTTTTGTAAGAGACCAATTGATAGATAATTGATCACTTTACACGAAAATACTGCCCGTTTGACAAAATTAACAGTGGCCTTGAAAATATTTTTAAAAAAGGTATTTTTATTGCAGATAATGTTTAATTTTAAAGAAACTTTGACCCGCTATATCTCGTTAAGGAGGCATTTGCGACCCCATGTATATTAAGACTTTTCATCTTAATTTTTGATGTATTCCCTGCCCTAGAAGTCTGTCAGCGGTTTGTTGAATCACTCTGTATAATCGTTTATAAAATTGTTCAATTTTTCAATTTTGAACATCAAAGTGTAATAAAACTATCAAATTATAGCGTTTTAGAACCGCAACATTGGTGATTAAACAGTATACACTGAAAATAAAAATGTTTTAATTCGTTTTGGAGTGGGTAAAAGTAACACTAATGTGCACTATATGATTATGAATGCTGTCTATGGGAAGCGATACGATTTAGAACCGATCACAGGCAAACGATTAAGATTATTCTAAATTATTTTAGAGAAATATTTTTTAGTAAGCTTGCAAGTGTGCAATTTCGAACATAAAAGAATTTAAATTCACTTTTAAAGGTCTAAACACAACTCTGCAGAATACAGTCTAAACAACTGTGAAAAAGCTAAAGTTTTTTCCGTTTCATCAAATTAGCTTTCGGACTTTTTACTATATTTTCCTTTATTATGCAATATAACTCTATTTTTCGACAATTTAACGTTGTTTGCTCTATGTCAATTATATTTAATGTCTGTATTTAATAACGTTCTATTTATTTATTAACTATATTTTGAGTAAATAAATTTTGTACTGATATTTCATTACATTGGTTTTCAGCTTTTATTTAATTTATTGATTATTAATTTTCTTATTTTCCTATGTTAATCAAATGCATATCTTTTTATGATTGGTATTATCAATATCCAGTTTATAAATAGAGGTATTATTCCAAATCATGATAAAATATTAAAGTGTATAAAAACAAAAACAGGCGAAGGTATGAAAAGTTCCTTTTAAGATATGTAACCAAAAGCAGACACATTTTTTTTTGGCAAATGTTTAGATATACATATATAATTTGTATATTACAAATTCCTACCCTAAAACACCTTTTGTTACAGAATAATTTTTGTTTTTAAAGTTTTTTTAATCTCTTATGTTACTTGAATTATAGAAACATAAACATAAAATACACATTCTTTAAATTTACTGCTTATGGGTTGTTTTCAAAATTAAATTGATTTTAGAAAAATTAAGTACATTAGATTAATTAGATAATCTAATAATTATTTTGTACTTTTAATGAATTACCTTAATTAATTATTAATAGTATACAATTTAGAATTGCTTTAATATAAAGCATTACTTATACAACCCATTATACAATCTGATTGCAAATGGAATTAAAAAGTTAATTAGGTTGCTTACATTTCATTATTAATAAAAACAAAAGTTTATACTTACAAATCGTCATTTCTTCCATGTCGAGGACTCGTATAAGCGTTAAAATGATCACTTTTAACCAAAATAGAGCTATCCTTACTTCCACTAGAATGTGTAGGAGACATTGTCATCTTTGTCCTGTAAGATAAAGACAAATGTAACATTCCTGTTGGAGTACAAATTTGTCCAACTCTAATCTGTTTGTAATTTTCAGCTAATGTTTGAAGCGGTGGTGATCCCATATATATTCTATAGCAGATAACATAAGAATCAGGATCTTGTACTCTTGATAATTTATAAGCTGGTGTAACTCTAGTTACTGACACTAAAGATTTAAGTAATATTCCCATTCTATTATAAACAGTAGGCATAATTTTTATGCCTAAATCATTTTGTTCGGACATCATGCTTAAACACCATAACTCTAAGACCATTGTGTCAGCATCTGATGTTCTTAATGAGATTTCTACGCATAATGGGGATGATGATGTTGTTAATTCTCCATTAAAAACCTTTTTAGTTTGAAGAAGAACTTCTTGATCATCAGGTACGGCCAGATTAAACTAAAAACATATTTATATTTTTATTTTGATAACTTATCAAATGAAATGTCAAATTAACTGTCACTTGTCAAAAATCAAAATGATAATGAATATAATGATATTGACATCTAACCAAATAAATACACTATCAATTTTGAAAGTATAAACACAATAAAATACAATAACAAAACAATATTACATACCCAATCAGTAGAATGAGTAGGATTTGGTTTACATTGTGTAGAGACTTTTTCACCTAATCTAGATTGTACGATGATTTGAACTACTTTAAACGCAAGATATTTTGTAAATTTATCCATTTCTTTCTTATCCTGAATTGTTATCTTCTGGGCCATATTTACAATGTTAAATGAACATCCTCGCGAGAAAATCAAAACGATCAAAACACAGGCGAATGAAACCAAGGGCGAGACCGACGCTTAATACAGTTAATTTTGCAAGGATTTCATTTCAAAATCCGATTATAATGAGGGACGAAACACGAACAGAACACTACACGGGAATATTTAAAGAGACGTACACGAAAACCCCACAATAACAAGTTAAAAAAATTGTCTGAACGTGCAACAATTGCAACCACGCAACTACCATTACATCAATGATGGGCAGTGTTGCCATTTTATTGTGTTGACTATTTTGATATAATTAATCCATTATTTATTTACAAATATTAAAAATATTTCTTAAACCACGATCGGATGCGATTAGATAAATATTTAAGTGATTAATTAGAAAATTTAAAGTTCGTATTATTTATTTTTGATAAAAACAACGTGTTTTTTCAGCGCCATCTGTTACTCGGAAAATTTATTTCAACATTTTCTTTATAAATTAGAATTATTTTTAAGAGGTATATAAATATATAATGTAATAAATATACTAAAATATTTTAATTGAGTAATTAAAGTTTAATTATTAAATTAAAATCAATAATAACAAGTCACGCAAGCGGTGGCGTGCGCAACTAAAGTTAAAATCGTCCATTTTGTTTTGCCTCGAAGAAACCGTCAGATTCATCAACATCGGTGTCCGGTATTTTGCATATATTCCATTAGTTTTCAAGATAAAACTTACTTTATTTAGACTCACTATTAAACCGATAAAAATCCTCGTCGAAGAGAGTAGTTCGAAATCGCCGAGGTAAGTTGAAAATCCGATAAATTACTTCGCATTTGGCAGCCGTCGATATCGACGTGTGTTGCGTCACACCTTTATTTGCGTCGTTTAAGTTATTTTTTACAAAAAAGAGAAAGGAAAAAGGCCATAATTAGAAGCATGTGATAAACAACGTGAAATTTCGTATAATTTTAATCGATTTTCAAGTTCAAAATAGTCGCGACTTTTGTTCCTCATATTAGTGTATCGTTTACATCTCGTTTCGAACAAGATCTGATGCTTTTAAGTTATGTGCTTTGTTCACGATCCAATTTGATACATAAACGTTTGGGTGATGCACATTTAGTAGGTGTCCAATTTTAGACGAGCTTCATTTTCCACTTTTGGTTTGGAGCTGTTTCTATGGTTGTAAATTAATTTATATTTTACAGCTGTTATGAATCACAGATTATTTTTTGGATAATCATTAATGTGATGCGTTATTGTAAATTTTATTAACGTTATTATTGAAAATGTTAATAATAGACCTTTTTCTTAGAAAGTAAGTTTTTAAGAAATCTGATACCCTTCTTTATTCCTGATCCTAAATAAATTTTCCTTTTCTATCTATAACATTAAAAAGATCTAATAGAAGAGAAGATATAAAACATTTAATAATAATTATTTAGTATTTGGTAAGTATTTAGCTGGTACAGACTTAAAAAAGACTTTAAAGATTAATATTGGAGCTTTGAGGTTTTCTGATATAGCTGCTGCGATTACCTTGATTTGGCACAGTTGCTGTCTGGTGGAACTCCATCTACACCGCTTTGGACCTGGACTGGGAGGTGTTGGTGTTGTAAGACTTTCATTTCTGCTAAGACGACGCAATGAGTTTTTAATGGTTGAGTGAGACAATCTCACAAGATGTAAGAAAATCCTTTAAAAAAGATTATCTAAAAAATCGAATTTGGAGCATGATACTTATATTATTTTGTTTGACTGTACCAGTTTATTAAGTAATATGTAAGTAGTTTTTGAATTGTTAATGATCTAAATTTTAATTTTTGGCCAAATTCTTTCATACATTATTTATCTCTTGAAGAAATAATCGAGTATCAAAATAGTGTTGCACCCTCAATTCTCAATATAAAGGCAACAGATACTAAAAAATCTAAAGCTTGGCCTAACATTAATATTAAATAAATGAATGGATACAACAATCTTCATTCCATGTGTACAAACTTGATGTGAACCCAGTAACAGCTGCAACTTTCGACTTTAAATAATGCTTTTTCAAATTTTACAATATTTCTTCTTGGAAGAGAAGCACCAAAGAATACAACAAAAAAATCAAATCTTGTTTGAATGGAAAATTGGTGATTGCATAATTAAAAGATAATTTGATTAATAAAATTAAACCATTAAAAATAAAATTAATTAGCTACGCCATCCTATTCCTTTCTGTTGAGCACAGAATTACTACAGTGATTTTTAGAAATCTAACTATGCCATACCCTGTTTCAAAGAATTAAAAGGAAACTGTTAAAAATTGATAAAAGAACCTAAACAATGCAAATAAAGTCCCTCTAGGTTACCTTGCATTGCTATTATATGAAATTAAAATAATTTTTCCCTATTTATAAACTAATAATGAGATTGAAATTGTTTCTAATTAATACCATCGGTTGTTTATAAACATAGAGATTACTTCAGTTCTGAGCATGTGTTTTTGTATCTAACAGAATTGTTATTTATTGGCCGTTCCAGTAGCATTGCAGAACACCAGGGGAGTAAAACGAGTGTTTTATTACTTCGATTTCAGCGTTGGCACTTATTCAACAGAAGCAGAAGGCAAATTAACGAAAAGTCATCACCAACGAATTGCAGCTAATACATATTAGATGTCTTAAAATCTAGTTACAATTAGAGAGTATTGATACTCTTTAAATGGTCACTAATAATGGCGGGAATTACTTAGATTAACAACTAGTTCGACATTGTTATCATAATGCCAGCTTAATATTTCTAACTTTGATACTAAGGATGTTATTCCTATAACTATACAGTGTGTTTGATTGTAGCTATCTCAGCAGATATCTTGATTACTATTGGAGATATGATGAAATGTTATAAAAGAAACGTAGCTTCACACTTAATATTACATAAATTCATCTAAAATCATAAATTCTATCTAAAATTTGGAATGTATCTAACACATTTGATGCTCAATTGGTTTTTTGAATGTTACTGTTAATAGAATGTTAAGTATGGCGTAACTTTCCTTCTATATGTAACCTTTTGTCATATCTCCAACAGTGGTCGAGATATCTGTGATAACTAAAATCAAATACACTCCATACAGAGTGCCAAACTATATGTAAAATATCCGAAAAGTTGAGAGAGCTTTCGAAGAAGATAAACTTGAAAATTTATATCGTTAAATTATTTTATTTCGGAGGCACGTGTATATTTGAAAAGTTGTGCAAACTTCACTTCAATTTAAAATAAAATCGTTTAACACACATTGTCGTCGTTATGGTGAGGGATTGTCGTTATTGCGGCCTTCTGTGATAACGCTATTCCTACCTTGATACAACTTCACCAGACCTATACAAATATGATTTTTAGTATCAGAACTCTTTAAATATGTAACTTGTCAGATCTGATGATTTATACGTCTTTATAAATAGTATAATTGAGCTTGGCACCAAGCACAAGAAATGGTATGCCCTTGGAAAGCAAAATTTATATATTTTTGGCTATGAAGCATTTAACGTGTAAATAATTACTATAATAATTAATTTTATTATTATTTAAGGAGTATGCTTCGTCTGGGCATTAACAATTATATGTTTGTAACGATATATAAGAAAAATGCCAAAACGGTAACGATGTGTTTCGCGGTCTGAAAAGTTTGATATTGACTTCACCTCATATCTGAAAATAAAAACAGAAATTTAGCTTTACTTTATTTTATATCTGACTTGATTAGGAATTCCGTATCTTAAATGTGGTTGTTTGCGAATACTAAAATTTTTGATTGGGTTAATAGGTCATCAAATTCAATAAAAACTCATTCAAAACTAAATGATGCCTTTAAAGTTGATTTAAAGCCTTTTAAGTATAAACACCCAGATGTTTTTTTATTAAGCACATAATAGATTATGACACTAAACCGGAAAAATCGTTCAGTTTTATGTATGTATGAAAAAATCGGAAATTATAAAAATACAGATTTAATTTTTCATTTTAGATAGGTGTATAAAATTATTCACGCGAGACGCATTATTGCATTTAATTATTAATGTCTTTAAAAGTAATATAAATAATTGATTTTTTAGTATGTATTTACAACTTAATAAAACTTTAACAGGAAATTGAGTTATAAGAAAAATATATACCCTATCGTATTTCACAGGAACATTATTATAAGCAAAAGATAATGGAAAACCTTTCTGTTTTCGGATTTCGTTTCGTCTGATTCTACATTTACATTTTGCCGATTTTGCTATATTTCTTTTAACTAGGCTTTGCAGGATACATTTTTTCCCACTTAGGAGTCGAGAAAATATGGTGGGGAACAAGTTACACACATGGGCTATATTTTTCGGATCGTCTTGCTGAAAGTAGATGACCTCTAAATCAACCTTTTGCACGTTCTCTTGCAAATTTTGTTTTAAAGTCTTGATATACACCATTTTGTCCATCGCTCCCTGTATAAACACCAACTTTCTGACCAATACCACCTTTGACACATTATACATATTATCAGTCTATGAGTCTCATATTATGAGTCTGATTTGAGTTGTTTCCAAACCAGCTCAAACTGGATTTCTTTACTGCTGTGATTACAATGTGATTTTAGGATTTTTTTTTTTAAATTAGCGTTTTTTGTATTTTATTAATTTACGTGATCTATCTACGTGAGGACGGTTTTGAATGTTTTCTTAATGATTTTGTCAATTTTTACGCATGATTCATTTACCTTTTGCAAGTTTATTTTAGGTTTCGTAGCCTCGTTTTGCTTCTACACCATTTATGCCATTAGGATTATGTCACATCGCATAGTATTTCCATCTGTGAAGTAAGAAAGCTACTGTTACATTTCGAAAAAATGAAGCATTTCTGGAACAGGTTACAACAAATAGGAGTTTACACATCCTATTTGTAGAGTTCCATGCTACAGCTATATATCCTCATAGTATTCAGCGTAATTTTGATATTTTACATTTCTCAGCAATTTTTTCAAATAATTTTCTGGAGGTTCGATAAAGGGATAAACAATTACTAAATCAAGATCGAAATGAGTTATGGAGTCATTAAAAACTACACTTTATGTCTTCAGACAAAGAAGTTATTCATCGAATTTCACGTCTTATACTTTCGGGAAATATTTGAGCTAGTCTGATATTAACTAAATAACCGCCGATTGATTAACAAATCTCTTCTGCAGCTTTCTCAAGCATTATCTTGTTTTTGTAGTGTGAATCCTAAACGTTTGCAATTTAAAAAGTGTACCATGCTTTTGAATTAATAATTTAATGTTATTTGCGTTGAGCTCACTCACCATGAGCAGAAGCCAAGGGGTAACGCATTTTTGCGTTATCGCTTGGGACAACTTTTTAGCACATAACGCAATAAGAATTGCCATCATTCTTCATCACTAACTCTCTATCTTCTGTAGGGGTGATTCATTTGAATCTCCTAGTATTACTATTAGTATTTTCTAGCATATCAGCTAGTCGTTGAGCCTCCAAGAGAAGAGTCAAGTTGGATGGATAACACTTCTTAAGACACCGCTCCAGCCTAAAATATCGAAAACGACAAAAATACTGAGAATGCTGGTTTTTAAGGCCGAATACAATTTTAAAGGTTGCTCGGCAATGTTGCTAAACGCAGAATGTAATATATACAAAATCTGTTAATACATAAGTTTTAAAATTTCAAAACCAGTGTTAAAGTTAATATGTATCAATTTTTTATTATACGACACACGTCGATAAGTAACTATTATTCCGGCCAGTCACGATATTCGTATATGCAAGTCTTTGATATTTCCCTCTATTGCAGACCCTTGGGCATCAATTCATCCGTACCCAACAGTTAGGTTAAATGGACTATGCCGTTTTGGAAAGTTCACATCAAAATTTATTGTTATTTCTAATAATGAACAGCTTAGCACATTAAAAATAAAGAAGAAAATTATGGTTAATGTTTCTCAAGAGAACTTTCTCTCACTTTTATATGGCAATATGATAAACTAGCAAAGTTAGTAAAACGTTCGCCATCAATCTACTGAAAATTAAATTAAAAAGATTAAGTGGATCACGGTTTAAATCTTACTTATCTAATAATTTTTCAATTTAATTTTAAAATATTTGCACTCATTCCAAAAGCATTAGGTATGAATGTGCACTCTTTCTCATTAGATTTTAATAATAACCTTCATCTACTTTTATAGGAGCGCCTACGTTTAATTAAATTTATTGTTATTGAACCATTAAAGAAAATGACCAAGATCTGTTTTAGTACTTTAGCAGTTCATGTACCGGCTAAAGATGAGGTTGCTGTGGGATCGGATACAAACGTTTGTAGCTAATTGAGTTGCTAAATAAAAGTGGTCAAAATCGTGATATTGAATTTTTTAACGTTGAACTTCATACATTTAGTGTGCAAATTTTCACCTAACCGACTTGAAATCCGCCCAACCGTTTTCCCGACCTTGTTTTGGAAAACTACGGAAGAACACGAAATATCGAAAGAATGAAGTGGTTAAAACCATTTCATTCTTTCGATATGTCCTTTACTTTATTACATCTATAACCAATCTGCTTTTTAATATTACTTTTTATTATGTCTTGTATCATGCTGTAACGTTTACGTATACGTTTAGGTGCTTGATGTCAGACCCTTACCAAGTTGCGTGATATCAAATAGACTAGAAGCATACGTATTTAGCTAGAGTATATTATACCATTTAAAAAATAAGTAAACAGGCAAGGCATCTTCTACTCTCGTCAAGATAAGCATGTGCTTGGTGTATTGTTTACTCAGAATGTTCGGGATCTACGCAACTGTTCTCATGAATCTTAGGACACTGCAAATCGGAAGTTGACTTAACTTTGGGTGTGCAATCATAACTTTTATACGTGTGGATATATTATATGTTTACAAAGTTCAAATAACAATCTAAAGATATTATGAGTAGAATGGTGGGTTTTAATAAGTCTCATTAACAAGTTTGGTACCATGGCGGACACCAAGTCTGTTAAACTTTAAGATATTTAGCATCACTACATTTTTGCCGTGACTCTGCAATTCAATGTTGTCAGACTCTGTTAGTAGGAGGATTTAAGTTAAAACAGGTTTAATATTTTTTTAAAGTCATTATAAATGAATACACTAATCATATTTCCTAGCTTCGTGCTTTTCAACATCAAATTTCAGTGGGGCAAGATATGGGTCGCTATATATCTAACTAATATAATCACTAGGTCGCGGATAGTTTAGGAATCTGGCTCTTGAATTCGCTCCACTTTGGCCTTAAATCTTTTTTTTTGCAACAATAAAACACTTCGTACTTTGTACTCTTCGACATATGATGAAGCGCATTCGCAGTTGCTTCGTGATGAAAGATGCGCATTGCCTTAAATCTCCGCGTCCTGATAATCACTGTGTACTGTGCAACTACAGTTTTTGTTTTACTTTATAAGTATTTCTCATGCTGGAAAAACCTAAAAATACGTTGGTTTGATGTAGATACTATTAAAATTTTCAGTTCAAGTTATTAAAAAATGAAAGAGTAAACACAATTTTGATTATATCATATTTTGTATTGGTGCTTCTATAAAACAGCTGTAGATTTTATGTATTAAAAATTTCACCGTTAATTTTGAACCGATGATGATTCATAAAATGAGTATTCAGCCGATTCAGATGGAGATCCAGATTTTATTTTATCGAACAGCTCAGTTTATACACATTCTGCTGATGTGATCACTTTCTAGGATGTTTTCACATATGAAATCACTTTTTCTCAAAATAAGAGATAAATCGCTTTGTGAATGACGAAATGCAATGTAATGTAATAACATCGATTGGATAAAAAATTAAGGCGACAATGAAAAAGGTTCATACATACTATCTAACACAATAGCTCTTTGAATGGAAAATATTTGCAATTTTGTGGGATATCATGAGTGGGATAACACTAAGTGGGATATCATGGATACGATTTAATCGAATAATGCTTGTGATTGATTATTGGTCATGGATAGGAATTTTGAAATTGGAAGTTGTTTGTTCTGAGTGGTAATAGGTTTTGAGGGTTTGCAAAAGAGTTGTGAAAAACAAAAGTCCCTTTTGGCAAAAACATTTGGAAGGATCAATAACTGTGGTACATTTGCCGTCTTTAGGTACGGCATAAACTTTGTTTGATATGGCATAAAGTTTGTAGAAACAGGAAACATTACATACCCCATCAAAAAGAACACTACACTGTAGTGTTGCGTAGCTAAATGGTGCAAAAACGAGATATCTTATTGTTCCTGACGTGTGCTGTGCTACTGATTAAGCTAACAAGTGTTGTACACTATAATTCAGGCAAATGTTAACCTTTCCGATCAAATGTCGAGTTATACTAGAACCTTGCATAAATCTATTTGTTTACAAAATAGCAATTGAAATATGATTAGGCACATAGCATTCTTATGGCAATTCACACTTGCCTTGTAATCGGCGCTGTAATGATTAACATTCATATCAAATACAATATTGTAACATTTTGATAACAATTTTCGTTTATCAATAATTAAAGATTTGCTGACGTTCAAATACCTGTTTTATGTGCAACAACCTCATCCTTCTAAAATCTAAGTCTAAAAATATATCACTTTAACAAAATATGTCGTGTTGTAAAGCACGGGAAAGAAATTTAAGTTGTTATAAGAAAATAGTATAGTATTATCGAAAAAAATACGACAAAGAAAGTTAACAACATTAGGAGAGGATCAAAATATCAACATTATTAGTGTGTCTATTTCTTTTTTATTTAAACTGTAGTATATTATACTACAATTAACTTCACACCAATGGTCTTGCATTTGAGTAGGGTAAATCAAAATCCGGTTTAACTAAATGTTGTAAAAGTATGTTTATAGTTATTGGGAATGGATCACAGCAGACACCGGTGGCGAGAAAAGCAGCACGATAACTTTTAATTATTTATTACCACCATAATTTCTGTTGTTTTTTTTCAAGATTTTTAAGACGTTTTAGGAGGCCAAATAAGAAAGGAGGAATTTATTCGTTTAATCAATGACAACCTCTTATTTATTAATGTAGTTTACTGAATCGAATTAAATACAAAACTAAGTTGCATTACAGATCAATTAATATCGAGATAGTTAATATCTAAATAGATAAGTATCCTAAATAAGAATTTAGACAACGATTGTCGGTGATTTTAAAAATTCATGGTGGTTCCATCGATCGTAGCAGCTCTTCGTCTTTCTCTCTCTCATCAAAGACACAACATCGCGGAAATAACTACTTCATGTTCTTTTACCTTATTTAGGGAATCCATATTGAATTTTTCGTAAGAGAATTTTTACTTTGAAAGAAATGATGTAATAAGTCTGTAAAATAATAAAGTAAAATAAAAGACAAAAAGCATTTAAAAACATCCCATTGTGCATCGCTTATACGTTATGTGAACTTTATAATCCAAGTTTATTAACAAAAATAAAAAGATGAACATAATTTAATCTTTATAGGTAAATAATCCTCACTAAAAATGAGCGTTATAATACGATTACAAAATCTTCCTTGGTCTGCAAACGCGCTTGATATTCGCCAGTATTTCCAAGGACTCAGCATCCCAGAAGGAGGTGTCCACATCGTCGGCGGAGAATTAGGCGACGCTTTCATAGCATTTAGGTGATTACCTTTAAAATATTCCACAAAATACTCTTGCACATTATCCAATCCCACCACCAAAATTATTTTCACTTAATCAATTTTTATAAACGATTTTTTTATTTAATCTCCTACAGTACGGATGAAGACGCTCGCCAAGCATTCAATCTAAACAATGGCAAGATTAAAGGTATTCAAATCAATCTTATGCTCAGTTCTCGCACTGAAATGCAAAAGGTGATCGAAACCGCTAGAAATCAATCTATGGCAGCCTTTATGCAGACCCCAACGCCTCGTGTTAATCCTCCTCCCGTTGCGCCTATATTACCCTCGGTTGTACCGCCTGCTGTTGTACAGGATACGAGAAAAGAGGATATTAATTTAAAAAAGGATGTAAAGGTTGATTATAAGAAAGATAAAAGGCGATCTAGGTCGAGATCCCGCGAACGAAAAGACCGGGATCGTTCACGCGATAGAGATCGTGGACGGGATCGTCGGCGGAGAGATCGTAGTCGATCAAGGTCTAGGGAACGTAGAGACCGTCGTAGGAGGGATCGGAGTCGCAGCAGAGATCGTGCTAGGTCGAAAGATCGTGATTATCACCGAAGTGGGAGGGTCAATGACAGGGGTTCACCAAAAGAGCAGCAAAAAGAGCACCAGGTAGTGATTTTATTGTCTTGTTTTCTATTGTGGGATGATAACGCTGATAAAAAAAAACTAACGTTAAAATTCATTAAATTATAGGTCGTTTGGGAAGCGCCGTTACCACAAGAAATTCAATTACAACAACCTTCAGCGGCTAGTATTTTAGGGGCTATTCCAAGTTTATTAGCCGCAACGGCTGCAAAGTCGCTACTTGAGCAACAAAATAATTTTCAACCAAATGCTTTAAGAAATAACTTTAACAATAGATGGTTACCGACTGCTACTCATCGCGAACCAACATTCCAACCTCCTGATAGGTTATCACTCGAAGATAGATTTCCTGACAATCGTAATAGGGCTTTACCATTTGAAAATCTTAACTCGTTCACTCGAACGACGAGTGTTTTAACAAACAGACTTGCATCTTTGATTCCCTTGAATAATAGTAATAACAATAATAGATTTCTAAACGAAAATAGGGAAAGATCTGAAAGGTCATCGACTGCTAGAAATGAAAATGTTGTTCAACCAAAGAATTGTTGCGTTCAATTACATCCCTTTATGGGTGGTTTCGGAGAAATAAGAAGGTTCTTTTTAGGGTTGTTCATACATAACACTGGGATTAAATTTGTTAATGATGAATTCGGAAAGAGAACGGGCGTTGTTTATATAAAATTTGCTTATCCCGAGGGAAAAGAACGTGCCTTATCTAGATCTGGTGGCATGTTAAGAAACCAAATTATTACCGTTTCACATTTAGACGATGAAATTTTTGATGGCGCTGTTGATAGATATCAACCTAACACCTCGGGAAGTGACGATCAAGATGAAGTTAATAGTAAATTAGATACTGCTAATTTCTTAAATAAAATCGGCCTATTTACCACTCTCCTAGTTGAAGATCTTCCTAGTTACACAAAAGAACAGGATATTTTAAAAATGTTTTCCGATTACTCCCTTATTTCTATTATTTTAATAAACAAACCTAGAAAGCTTACCATAGCTTATGTTAAGTTTTCAAATGCAGATGATGCAAAAACAGCCCTTGAAGCTATTAGTAAACATAGCGTTGACGGAAAATTAGTTGCTGTTAAGCCATGTTCTGACGAAGAATTTGAAACCGTTCAAAAAGAACAGGGTACGTTTGAAGAACCAAAACGCTCAAGTGATTTATTTAAAAACTCCGATGTCCTATTTCTTTCTCGTTTACCGCTTAAAACTACCGATAGAGACATATCCGATTTCTTTTCTGATATTGGAATCATGCCTACCAACATTCATATGTTAACGAATGATAGAGGTTTTGTTGGTGACGCTTACTGTGAATTTAGTTCAATTAAAGATGCAAAAGAAGCTTTAGAGAAAAACGGAACCCCGCTTGGTACATCGATAGTTTCTGTTAAATCAGTTGAAAGACGTGAAATGGAAGAAGCAATTGGTACAGGTCAAGATGAAGAAGATGAGGAAGATTTAAATGATGATCCATTTGAAAGATTACGCCATGAAGATAACGCTGATGATTTGAATAGAATAGATAGAAGAGAAATGGGATTAAGAGATAATAAGTTGGGAGGGAGATACGATTACAAACCACCTGAAAAATTATTAAACCAATTATTTCCCCCGAGATTACCTAATTTACGACCAAATCTACTTCTAAACGCAATGAGACCTTCATTTCCACCACGAAATAATTTTATGCCACCAATTCCACGTGGACCTAATTTTTTAGGTTTAGGACTTAGACCAAGAAGATTTCCTCCTCCTCCTCTTCCACCACATTTTCAACAACACATGAACGGAAATGAAGATGTTTTCGGCCCACCAGGATGTACGGTTCTTATGGAAAACGTCCCCTTTAAAGCTACCGTTGAAGAAATTTTGGAATTCTTTAGCGGGTATGAAATTTCACCCGATAATATCTTAAGACGGTATAATCCGAATGGAAAACCATCCGGTGAGAGTAAAGTTATCTTTAAGAATTCCGATGATGCTTATCAAGCTGTACATGAAAAGCAAGAACAAAAAATTAGAGATCGGACCGTTTATTTAACATTATGTTAATGTTTAATAGATCGTTTGTTAATGGATAAGTTCGCAATAAGTTCTTTTTTTTTGTACATAAGAATTTGAATGAGTTATCAATTTAGTTTCTATCTGTAGAAACAAATGTTTATTGAATAATTAAGCACAATTGTAAAGGATTTATATTAAATTCTTGAAAATTTAAAGTTTTCGTATATCATTGTATCATAATACATAAAACTAATATATTATACCTTCTACTTTTCATGACCTAGAAATCATTGTTTGCAATGTCCGACATCAAAGATATGTCGACGACGCGACTTCCTCCTAACATATCTCCTAACATATGATGTGGGTAAAGAACTATGAAAAGTCAATAGTTAAGAGAGAGTTGCCTACCACTTCTTCGAGGTGGTAGGAAACTCCTTCTTATCTTTACAAAGAACATAAAAGTTATCTCGTTTTGTACACTCATATTCAACAAAGTTCTTTAGCTTACCATACCCCTCCAACTAACTGTCCCCGAGAACACCACCCACATTCGTTATCCCACCTCTATTTACTACACTAAACCCCACGAATTATTACAGTTTATGCTCACGGATCTCATCAAACTCTCCATTATCGATTCATACACTACCTTTGGCTTACATATTGCTTTTCACAATTGCAGTGTCAGATCGGTAATGACATCTGTAAGTTATAGAGCATCTTTGTAGTCACAATAAGTAAATATTATTTTTATATTACACAATGCTTAACAGTGCACTGAATATAGTCATCATCTATATTCAGCGCACTGTTTGAATGAGATATGTCTGCACTTTGATATCCATTCTGCTGAGCTTCTTCCGTTTTGTTCACCATCTATAAATGAGATCGAGGTAGAGCAATTCAAGGTGGTGATTCTGCTTCGAAGTGATGCAAGATGAAATTGATTTCCGACCGTCAAAACCGTTTGTGCATTTCTTTTCTGTGAGGATCTTAACAATAATGGAGATAACCTACATAGCTACACATTTTGCTGTATCTATGTAACGCCTAATGGTTCTTTGAGTTTATTATAACTCTGTCAAAAATGGGAAATGTTAGATTTGATCTTTGATCATTTCGTAACCTTTATTCACCTGCAGGATTTCATCCCGGTGTAATTACATGAAACAGTAATACAATGTCAATTTGATAATGAGCTGAGAATACCAATAATAATAGCCAATTATAATAGCCAATTATAATATGGATTAAATGTGGAAGTGAATTACTGATCCTTGGATCCTTGGTCCATGGGGACCAACCAATTTATAACGTAACAACAAACAGTGTAAAATAAAAAATGTTTTGAATTGTTAACACGGGTATTTGTGGGTACTACAAATAAGAATTAAAGGGTGTATTTGTAATAATCTAAATCTTATTCACTTTTCATCAACTCAAGTCAATCAACTCTAGTCCAAAATTCGCGGATTTCTTGGTGAACCTAGCAAACGGTAATAGCATGGGTGGTTCCCTAAAGGTTGATGATATAGATTTTGAGTAGAACTAGTTCTCCAAATTTTTTTGAGTTGCAATTCTTTTCTTTGTAGATTTGTTTATAACAACCACAAGCATTCCATTGAGTTGCATTAACTTTTGAACTTGTACAAAAATGGTCATTGCTTTGTCGAGTTGCTCAAGTACTTGTAAAAATATTTTTGCATTAAATCCTTTAGATGATTCTATATTACTAATTTCATTGTGTACTACTTTACGTATTTCAAGATTTCACAGATCTTCGCCGATCGGCGACCCATCTTCTGATTTTATTTCCAGACCCAGTTTTTTTTTGCCATTTCTACAATGTTGCATAATAACGGGCAACATTTCAGTTATAGTGGGTTTTTTAGGCTTTTTCTTTGGATTTGTAACCTGGCATAGATTTTTTGACATAGCAGTTTCTGTATCTACAGCAGTTGTTTCCATCCATGACTAGCAACAAACGTTGTATTTTCCGTTGAGTCTCTTTTCTTGGCTTTTAAATCAGTAATTTAACTTAGTGGTAATAATCTCTCTATATCTGAAATATTTTCATCCCTTTTTCTAATTACCGCTGTATTAATTGGTGTACCATTCTTTATGTTGTCAATTTTTGCCATATTTTGCAAAATGCTATTACTTGTAGTTTTCCAAAATTCAATCTCCGGGCTACTTCGGCTTGAGACACCCCTTCCTCCAAATTAATTCATAAACTTTTCATCTTTAATATTTCTTCTTGGCGTAACTTTGTTAAAAATGTTGTATTAAGAGGACTTTTTCGAATTCGATTACTGGTTGGTATAATTATGCGACTTACTGGTAATCTTTCATACTAAATAGTACAAAGAAGTACGAAAGTGGGAAAGTTTGTAAAGTGAAGGTATACAAACCGAAGTATGCCTCTAATAGGAACAAAGATTTGTCTAAGGAAGGATCGGATGGTTGATAGAACGGGTGAATGTGTATTAGCAGGTTGAGATCTGTGTCGGCTTTTATATCCACGATAGTTCTGTGTGCTTAGCCAGTTAGCGCTCTTTGGAAAGTTGATTTTAAATTTATTCAGATTGGTTTAAGTAATGTGGCTACGATATTCACATTTGGCACATGTAGCACATTGAGTAATAGTTTTTTCTGTCCGCAATACTGGCAGATGAAACATTGAAATATCTTTTTTGGCGAAAAGAAAAATTTAAAAATAAGTAAATACAGGAATGACATCTGTCGAACGAAAAAGCAACAACGTTTCATTAAAAGAAAGGGATGGCAAATTTCAGCTGATCATGGCTCTTTTTTGAATATTAGTTCTTAAATATGGCAATAATAGGAAGGCTAAATGTATAACACAATTAAGGATGTTTGTCGAACACTGAAAATAGAAATGAAATTAAAGTATCCGATTGATTTACGCAAGTGTACGAAAAAGTTCAAAATTTTCTGGATCAAAATAAAGCTGTGTAAATTTCTCAACTCTTTCAAAGTTTTATTTTCTATTTTTCCATTATCCTATGCGATTCTATACTTTAAAAAAGAACTGTCACAAATCCAGCCATACTTTCCATTCTATATCTCCTAAGAGCAAACTTCGAAGTAAAGTCTCGTAGTCGCCAGTAAATCACCGGTTAACGCGGAAATATCATTTCCGAGTGTATATTTTTCGCTTACGTCGCCGTCTACGTGGCCAGTCGGTGTCGAAGGCCGCGTTACGCCGTTAGGAGTGTGCGAAGCTGTTGTAACATGCCCAACTTTATGACCGTCGAGAGCTCCTTCTGACGATCGGGGAGGAAGAAGACGTAACATCCCCCATAAAACGAGGGATAAAATCCATTACCAGCCGACGACCCCGAAAACCTCGTAGACAAAACAGTTAAGATAGGAACCGGAATTTTGCATTTTAGATTCTCGCGAATGGTCCGGAAGAGATAACCGGATCTAAAAGGGTTCACCGGACACCGAAGATTGATTGTGGAATTTAAATTTGTCGTGATTAATTTAGATTTCTTAAAAATAAATAAAAGAATTTTTTTCATATAGGAGGTAACAATAACAATTTCAAAAGCTTATCGTTAGTTGAATGTTGTGCCAAATCAGGATTATGGATAATGGTAACGAATAGTAATGCCTATTTCGTGTGAAACGTGCGGGGGAAGAGACCGAGAGCTACACAAAGCTCGGATAACGACACAGTTCTGGGCAATTCGTACGACAATGGTGTCGCTTAGATGGCCCTGTTTATCCCGAGCTTTACGCGGTACAGTTTACAATTCGTTTATGGGCCCGATTTGATTGCTTTTGGATTGAGCTTTCGAATGGATTTCGGGCTTTCCTCCGAAATATGCATTGTTGGATTTCACTCCATAAAGTATTTCATCTATCCTCTGTTCGCACGTATGAATACGAATGATAAATTTTTCGTTTATATCGTATAAAATATCTACAAAACTGATATCATCTTTTTTTATTGATATTGGAAAAACATAATGTTATAAATTACTTCAGAAACAATAATAAAAAAATTGATGCAGATATATAATATAGATCTATAGGTATTTTCTAATTAGTAACTCTGTATCCTGAAGTTGAAGTAATCCAATTACTGTAGCCGTAGCATTCCAATTATCGAGATAAAATTATTCTTGCTACGAAATAATTTTTGCCTTCATTATTTTGGGTCTAGATTTCGCTGAATAATAGTTGAGTTGAAATGAAATCAATAAAATAAATGCAGTACTCGCTTATTTTTTTTTATTTTTTGCGTTCAATTGAATTTAATAAAATCGGAATGTTTGCAATTTTTGATTGGACAAAAAAAAACCTCATTTCACTTGAATAATCTTTAATTTGTTGTGAATCCTTTTATTAAAAAAAAATATGATATAATAATATTTCACCTCCTGTATTGACACCGACGTAGAATCGATGGTATAAGTAGAATACGTGTCCATATATCATTTACCAGGAACTAGATCATTAATTCAACTGTGACCCACAATGGTTTAGATACAATATCTAAAATCCTTGCACCGGTATAATTTATAGCAGTAATATCCGAATAGAAAGCAATATTATAAATATTTCAATAGCTTTTCAACTTGAAGATGCAAATTAATCCTTGAAGTTATATCTTGTAAGGTTGCCCTCTTACATGGTAGAGATAGCAAACTTGAAATGCCCAATTATCTCGATTTCTTCCACCAGGAAAGTTCGCGTTAGTCGTTAGATTCGCGATTCCTCCTTTTAATTAATCGCCGTCAAACGGTTTCCTCTGAAATTCCATCATCAAATTCGCTTGGAAGCGCACAGAGCTCTCCATCCTTTATTGCACATAACTCCTTTCTCAAAAAGTTTAACGAGACCTTTACTTGACTTTTTTTATTATTTTAATTTGCATTCACTCGTTTAAACATGAACTCGACTTTATTGTTCTATATAATATATATAAATGCGTACATATCCTAATAAAAATAACTAGATGTTGAGAGAAGTTTTATGGAAATTGTCAACGAAGGGCTTTTTTTGTATTTTTACCGTCGTTGTCGTCAGTTTTTCTCTGTAACGTAGTAAATTCCACTTTTTTGCTAGTTAAACCGGGTGAAGCGCGCTATTTAATTAACCGAGTTGAAGCGAAATAATTGCGAGTTAATGAACGAGTTGAAAAAGTTCATCGAAAAGTTACACAAAAGGTGAACAAAGC